CGTACGTGATAGGAAGATCCTTATTGTTAGCCACAAGAGTGTACCACTCTCGCCATCTGGAAATTCATGACCGGGAAGCTAAGAATGTGAAGAATGAGCTGCTCCGTCTAAGTCCTCGTCGAGAGGCATAGACGGAGCAGCTTCATCGTCGTTCAGAACTGATTTTCGGCATATTTGGCGGGGAATTCCTCAAGCAAACACCGAACATTTTGAAAAGCGTGAAATTCCTTACGAATTTGCTGTCATTGCGTGATTTCATGCTGATTGAGACATGACCGCAATAAGTCGCTCTGACGAAAAGGCATACCCTTCCAAAACCATTTAACCGTTTGAGGTTCTTATATCACCTCAGAAGAGGGGTAATCGATCGCAATCTGAACACGAAAATGCCCTAAATGAATGCCTTTGGATGGAGCTAACGACTCGTTGCAGAAGGTGGCGAGGTCCACAATCGTAGATGATGTCACTCCTGCACGGTTAAGAATTGCTCGGTAAGAACGCCACCGCTCCGCCACAATGGACAGCCTCCGCCCCGCAGTCGGACTCCTCCTTTACCATTACGGTTCACCCGTGCAATAGAGTGGTAGGGCCACGATCGCCTTCGTACTTCCTCGCCACGGCATTGTCTGCTTCTCTTTTGTACGCTCAGCGACGTAGACTCACATAAAGCTGATGAATAGAGCCCTTAAGGGGAGGGGGGAGGAGCAGTTCGGCAACCTGCGGGGGGAGCATTATGCTCTTTCGCTGCTTCAGTAGTTTCGGTTCACAGAACCCACTCTGGAACCTGTGAACTCTTGTGAATCTGGAGCAAGCTCTCCAGCCACAATGATAGAACCTGTCAACTCCTGTAAGCTCACGACGAATGTCTTGTCACACCCTCTAAGCACCGCGTGAGCATGCAGTGAAGAAACCCTGAGTACGTCAGCGACAGAGCAGAATTTGAAGGGCGAGAGAAGACACAAATGAGCGGGAGCGTTAGTTTCCGTGTGACACTTGCAGTAGTCGTCTTCTGCTCAAATGAGGAGGGATTTCATCATTTCAAGTTGCAATCATCTGACCATGACACTCTTGCCACAAGGTATCGAATAGAAAAATGGTTTGGTCCCTACAAACCTGACCCACACCAATCGGGACGCCAGGATTTTATATTGTTGTTTTTTCATACGAGTTCTTTAGGACTACTCAGAAGTGCTCTGTAACCAGCGGTTGAGCGGGCAGGTTGCAGTCAGCTCCATAGCTAATGCTCTTCGAAGAATGGGAGCATTTTTGAGCAAAGTGGTATAAGGACGCAATGTGTTCTCTCGAAATCCCTATCTGAACAACAACGGCCCCTGAGCGCCCACCCTACGGCACAGTAGCGTGAACATATACGCCAATATTTCAAGAAGCTCGAAGATGGCTCCTGACAAATCGAAAATTAAACACTTTCATAACTTTTAATTCGGATAAACGACAAATCTACAATGTTTGACATGCTCATGAGATCTGGGAGAAGTTCCTTCTTGCCGCATAATCAGCCACGCCTTGTTCTTGCCTTCTGCCTAATCGTTCTGCGTTTGGGTTTCGGGACGTAAGTATGATGCTGCCGTTTGTTGCTCGGCGACTGTTGG